AGAATAGAATAGAATAGAATAGAATTCTTTATTGGCCAAGTGTGATTAGACACACAAGGAATTTGTCTTTGGGGCAAATGCTCTCAGTGTACATAAAAGAAAAGATACATCTGTCAAGAGTGAAGAATCATAAAGTACAACACTTAATGATAGTCACAGGGTACAATAAGCAATCAAATCATACTAGGAAACAGTCAATATAGATCGTAAGGATACAAGCGACAAAGTTACCGTCATAACAGTCATAACTGGGAGAAGTGTTCTGACCAGGGCTTATTGACACACTAACAAACACACATTATAAAATCCCAAAATCTTTTTTTCTTTATTTCAACGGCTGTGAATTTCAGTCATTCACAGCCCATAATGAGTCTCACACAGTTTGTAAATAGTCCCACAGAAGTCTGCCAAAGTCCTTTGGGATAAGTCTGATCAGCACGCACCTTTATCTCCCTTGAAATGCTGCCAATGACTAAATTGCCAATTAGTTCTATAAGGCCAACCGGAGCACAAATTCAACACGGAGTTTCAGGTTTCAAACCGACCAGTACGAACAAAGTTGCTTCCTGCAAAGGCTCATGTCCCTTTGCTCCTCCTTTATGTCTTATGGGAGGAGGGGCAATCACCTCCCAGCCTTACTCCCGAGTTGCCCCTTTTACCTTAGCTGCTCTTGCCTTCTGGCTGCTCTGCGCACGCGCGCACTGGGAACAGGCTCCCCTTGTTCCTCTGCCTCGCTGCTGTCACATTCTGGAGGCTCCGGAGTCAGCACATAACTCCCAGATGGCCTTGGCCCCATCTCTGCATCGGATGCAGCTTCCTCGGCCGAGTCCTTCCCAGGCGCCCAGACTGGCCCCTGTTCTTCCCCACTGTCCAACTCGGCTGCTGTCTTCGCAGGTTGCCGGCAGACCACAACAAGGAGATGGGTGAAAGGAAGGATGGGAGGATTAAGAGTAATAGTAGTGCAGACTTTGTAAATAGTTGGACAGTGTGGAGGGAATGATTTGTTTAGCAGAGTGATGGTTTTCAGGGAAAAACTGCACTTGTGTCTAGTTGTTCTGCTGTGCAGGGCTCTATGGTGTTGTTTTGACGGAAGGAGTTGAAACAGTTTATATATCCAGGATGCGAGGGGTCTGTAGATATTTTCACAGTCCTCTTTTTGACTCGTGCAACATACAGGTCCTCGATTGAAGGCAGGTTGATAGTAATCATTTTTCTGCAGTCCTAATTCCTCTCCGGAGTCTGTGTCTGTCCTGTTGGGTTGCAGAGCCAAACCAGACAGTTATAAAGGTGCAGAGGACAGACTCAATCATTCCTCTGTAGAACTGGATCAGCAGTTCTATATATGCAAACGGAAAAAAAAATCAAATAAATCACGAGTGAATAAATTTTGCAACCTCTTTTTGAAGGGGTCGCTAAAGCGCTAGGGATAGAAGTCTCCAAACTCGGCAACTTTTAAGACTTGTGGACTTCAACTCCCAGAATTCTCCAGCCAGCATAGCTGTCTGTGCCCTCGGATCAGTGGAGGAGGCAGCTGTTCCTCACCGGAGGGGATCGGGCTGCCTGTCAGCAGCAGTGCCTCTTAGCAGCCGATCCTCCCCCAATGCCTGAGTGGCCTGGGACAGCATCGTACCCAGCCCCGGCACGCTCCAAACATGCCGAGGGAGACGTGCCACCCCTGTTGGACAATCTGGGTTCCAGTTCCTTCTCCTCCTCTGGACTGGGGCTCTGAAGGTTCTTCTGTTCCTCCTTCAGATCCCAGAGATCGACCCCAATGCCCGCTTGCTCCAGCCTCCGGCCCCCATCATGCCCTTGGACACCAACTGGCCTCTGCTGACCGTCTCCAAGGGCTTCTTTGAGGGCGCCATCGCCAGCAAAGGTCAGCAGCTCCAGCCCCCTTCTCTCCCAGTCCTTGCGGGCCACCTGCAGCTGACGGGCCAGGGGGTGGCGGGTGTCCAGTTGGCTGAGTTGCTCTCTCTCCCTCCCTGCAGGGAAAGGAGGCGCCTTGGCAGCCGACATCGATATCGACACCGTGGGCACTGAAGGCTGGGGAGAAGACGCCGAGCTGCAGCTGGATGAAGGTGAGGGGGGCGCGCGTCTCGGGTGTCAGCTTGAAAAGTTTTCTCTGGGCTTTTAGAGTTGCCAGCAGAAAGGGAGCGGGGGATGCAGCGCATTCCTTAGATAATTTCTAGGTGGCCGAAGCTTCTGGTGTGCAAGATTATTACTGGAGAGCATGATTAGTGACTCTTGGCTATGGATGTGTCCCATTGGAGAATATACATCCAGAGGGTGGGGGGAAGACCAGGGTCAAGGGGGAAATGAACGATGTCGGCTGCTCCCAGGTAGCACCGGTAGGTTCACTCCTAACAAATCTTCTTTAAACTCTGAGAGACGCGACTAGAGACTCATGATTTAAATGGGGGTCAATGCCGGAGCTCTGACATCTGGAAGGAATCCCAAATTCCAGCCGTGGACTGGGCATCTGGGCCTGTGCAAAGTGCATTTCTTCTTATACAAGTGTCTGTTTCTTAATTGCAATTGTGAAACTACTGCTGGTGTTTTCCTCAACTTTGGAAAGAGTTTTTTTTATGCTGAGGAATGTAAAAGTGGAAAGGAATTTCTGTTTGCGTGCATTTTGGATGTCAGTATTGCCGTGTTTTTCTCCTGTTAGAGTGGATTCCCCCCCCCCTAAAATAATAGCAAGATATTTAGCTACTGTCAAAAGGTGTAGGTGACAGCTTTAAATTTACATTAGTTTAGTTTAGTTTATTGTCATCGCACCTCGTACAACAAAATTAAATACCATCTTCAGTGTACCTTATTATAACTATAAAAATAAAACACAAACACACACCTTTCGCATTCTATACAATCAAATTGAAAACCCCTGATACTGATGCAACATTAATATTGCACTATACAGTAGAACTCAATATAGTTACTGCTCTGGGATAGAAGCTGTTTTTCAACTTCTATTTGTCCTTGTTTTTATTATTATCCTGTACCGTCTGCCAGATGGTAATAGTTCAAAAAAAGGGTGCCCAGGATGAGATGGATCTTTGAGGATGTTTTGAACTTT